GCTGCGGGGCGCGGGACGGGCTGCACGGCGCCAGCGGCGGCCCCCGCGCCGGGGGTCGCAGCGACAGACAACACAGGACACACGTGTCCCCCCCGCTGCCTCCTGCCCTGGCTGATGCCCCGGGGGGCTGGCGGGTGTCACCCCGTCCTGCCCAGGTCCCCGGAGCAGCAGCCACCTCTGGCCCAGCACCTGGAGGGCCCCAAGTCCCCGCTGCCACGTGCGATCCCGGGGGGCACTGGGATGGGCAGCCTCCCGCCCCGGGAAGTGCCGCTCTGGGGACAAGGAGTGACCCCGATCCTGGGGGGACCCCCCCCTGCGATGGGGAGCAGGTGGCCAGGGGTGGCCCTGTCCCAGGGATGGCCCCGGGCTCGTGGGGACGGATCCGCTGGAGCCGGGAGCAAGTAGCCAGGGCGATCCCAGGGACAGCCCTGGAGCCTGGGACAGAGTGCGGGTCCCTGGGGTGGTCCCAGTGCCAAGAGGGTGCAGGTTCCTGTGGGACCCCAAGCCCAGGGCTGGCCCTGACCACTGGGACAGGCTGCAGATCCCCAGGGTGGCCCCAAAGCTGGGGAGCTGCAGGCGCCAGGGATGGCCCCAAAACAGGGCTCTACACCTCTCCAGAGAGCCCCGAACCCTGAGGAGCTGCAGGTCCCTGCGGTGGCTGCAGACCCCTGGGAGCTGCAGGTCCTCAGGATGCCCCTACACCTCAGGGAGCTGCACGTCCCCAGGATGTCCCTAAATCCCTGGGAGCTGCAGGTCCCTGGGGTGCCCCGTCCTTGGGGCAGGTGCCAGACCAAGGGCAGCCCAGCACCCCAGGGAGCAGCAGCTTTGGGGTGCCCCCCCCCCGGGGCTGCAGCTCCCTGGGGCAGCCCCCCTCCCAGGGAGCCTCATTTTGGGGCCACCCGCCGGCCGCGGCRCCGGAGCGGGGCGCAGAGGACGGGACGGGGCGGGTTGGGGGTCACAGCGCGTGCTCCTCCAGCGCGCCGGGGGCGCCGGGCTCGCCGCCGCCGCGCGCCCACAGGCCCAGGTTGCGGCGCAGCGAGGTGAGCACCTGTACCTGGAGGTTGGAGATGGGCGCGGGGCTGGCGGCCAGCGCCGCCGTGGCCATGGTGCGGCTGAGCAGCGGGTTGGGCGGCGTGCTGCTCGGCGGGTGCGTCGCCTTCCAGTAGGCCTCCAGGTACTCGGCCAGGTGCTCGCACGCGTCCTCCAGCTGGTTCTCGTCCAGGATGATGTCGAACATCTCCTGGGGGCGGCGGGGGGGACGGGACATGGGGTATGGGGCGGCAGCGCGGCCGCTGCCCAGCGCTGCAGGGCTCGGCAGGGAGGGGGCGGTGGGCGGGGCCTGGAGGGGAGGGGCC